CGAAGAACTGTTCAAAAAATCTCGCGCAGGATGACTCTGGAAATAAGATTACGAATAGGTTGCATTGATTCACAAAATACGGCTCATAATTCAGAATTGGTTCGGAATGTTTCGCAGATTTTCACTGAAATGATGATGGAAAGGAAATTTTCTATGGAGTCCGAATTAATGACAGAAATTTGCGGAATTGGTGTCAAATTTTAAGCCATTGGGAGAAAAAATAAATCCTATGCAGGATAATCATCCTTGGCAAAATATTATGAGACAAATAATGAAAATTGTAAATCAACACTTTCCCATTGAAACCGTTTGGAAATATTTTGCCATTTTCTCAACAATTACAAGAAAGCTTCTCATTCAAAATTTTGAGATCATCACTGGATGTGAGAAAAATAGCATTCAAAATATGTGAAAAAAAGTAAGGTCAACACATTAAACAAAAATTTTTGCAATGCTTCCTTCTACCAACAGGTGAGTGGATCAGACAAGGCAAGGAAAACGTTTTCAACTCAATTTTTATTACAATTACTGGCAAGGTTTACACAAGAAGGTAAATATTTTCTCTATGTATTTCTGGAGTTGTCCATTGGGCTTCAGACATAGTTGAATCTTTTTCATCCAATTAACAAATTGCAAATATTTGCACCAACATTTTCATACTCTTAAGGCAACATTTTATGTGCAAGCGTATCATGATTTTTTATATATAATATTTGAACTGCACTGATCAATTTGAATTGGCAGAATCAACTATTCATGACATGTTACATGAGTTAGGCATTGATTGAACATAAATTAAAATTTAAAACGGAATTATTTAAGAAACCAGGGTACTTTTCTTACTGAATTTCACAGGACACATGACCTGGTTTGTCCAGAAATCAAAAATGAGGAGAAAATACATTTCTGGCCAGAAATATAATCACAGGGAGACCCCCACATGCAGACACCTCAACATGAGGACAATTTGACATAGGGACACTTCTTTTTCAATAAAAAAGGCATAAAAAGGGCCCAACATACAGACACTGACTCAACGTGAGGATATTTCATGATAAAATTGCCAATAAATTTCAGGAAAATTGACTTTTATCAGGCTTAATTGCAAGAAGGAGATATTTCAAACCCTTACACGTTAGATCTATGCAAGACCAATTCATTGGTATTTCTCCCATCATTTTCCCATCCATTCAGCTAATTAAAAAATTACCTATAGCATAGAGAGACTTTCTTCTCTCTTTGTGACTTGAAAGTTATTTTTACAGATGCCAACATTTCAATGCAATGTACAAAGGTAGACTATTTGATGCTCCAAATGTTCTTATTGAGTTGAAAAGATATTCACTGAATCAAATTCAAGTGGCAAACATTTTTTTCATGAAATTTGGAAAAATATTCCTTCTATAAAACACCAATTAAAAATTATACAATGTAAGGGAAAACAAGACTTGACTTTGGGACATTTTGACTCGGGACATTCTTCATGCACCAATTATGACTGCATCTGGGGGTCTCAATGTATTCAAATACCCTAATACTTTCCCTAACCAAATTTAACAGGACACATCCCCTGGTTGACCTTAAAATAAAAATAAGGAAAAACTATGTTTCTGGCCTCAAAAATACACTTGATCGAGTACACAGAGTAGTTTTCTAACCAAATTTCACAGAAAATTTTACCTGCTGGTAGACATTGAAATCAAAAATGAGGAGAAAATATGTGTTCTGGCCTCGTAAATGGAATTTTTTTAGCACCTGGAGTAATTTGTCAACTGAATTTCACAATAAACATCACCTGGTTGACCTTGACATGAAACTAAGTTTCTGGCCTAGAAAATAGAATCACTGAAGTATGCATTGAAATTTTCCAAC